CCCTTGTCCTCGAGGCCCCGGCTGCCTGCTCCCAGCGGGACGACCGGCCTCGCTTTCCCCTGGGGGAGGCGTATTCCTGAGCACGGGAAGGGGGATGCCTGAACGGGCTTGCTGCAAACCCAGGCAGGGGCTGTACCTCCCTGGCAAGGCTTTGCCGAGGCCCTGGCAGGCCATCCTGGTGCAGACACAATCCTTACGCGGTGCACAAGTCCCTTTGCTGTTCGGGCGCTTCCTTGAACAAAACCAACCGCTCTGGCAAAGGGACTCTCCCGTGTTTCCTAGTGGTGTGATCTCCCCCCCGACACGCCTCACCACTGTAGCTGTGCCGGCAAAGCTTTGCCGTGTGCCCTTGGGCTCGAGGCGACTGCGGGGGGCCGGGACCGCTGAGCCGGTGCAGAAGTAGGCAGGCACAGGCACAGAGTCAGGCTTGGCGTTTCTCCCAATTGCACAGCCCTGAGAAATGCTCGCTCTTCCTTGTGTCCTCAAGGCAAAGGGGCGCGCACAAGCTGCGCACGCCGCAGGGCTCTGCGCGTAGCCGGCCGAAGGTAAGTCCTTTCGCCTCGGTGCCTCAGTTTCCCAGCTGGCACGTAGGGATGATGAAGCCTTCCCCCTGTGCACAGCCCTTGGCGACCCGCAGTGAGGCACTGCCCTTTGTGTGCCCACGGCCCAGTGCAGCCAGAGGACGGCAGCCCCCGGGCTTTGCCTGGGGCAGACGCTCTCCGATACCCACGGCCGCAGGGGTGAGGTCTCGGCACCCCTGGAGAGCTGTGCCAGCTGCCTGTCACCCACCAGGCTCAGATTTTCTCAGTTTAGAGCTGTGCTTTGTTTCTTTTGCAGAACAGTAATCCCGGTGTTTAGAGTGGCCTGAAAGGAACAGAAACACTTAGCCTTGAACTTCTGTTCTGACACCGCTGCTGCTGAGGAACAAAACATAGAATCGGAGGACTTGGGGGTGGAAGGGACCTCAGGAGTCATCTAGTCCAACCTCCAGCCCAAAGCAGGACCAGCCCCAATGACATCATCCCAGACAAGGCTTTGTCTACCTAGGTCTTGAAAATCTCCAAGGATGGAGATGCCACCACCTCTCTGGGTATTAGGAAAAACTCTCACTAGGAGGGTGGTGAAGCACTGGAACAGGTCACCCAACCTCAACTTCCCTTGCTGCAGCTTGAGCCCATTGCTCCTTGTCCTGTCGTCTGCCCCCACTGAGATCAGTCCAGCTCCATCCTCTGCAGCCCCCCGGCAGGGAGGTGACGGCTGCTGTTCAATTCCCCTCGGTCTTCTCTTTTGCAGACTAAATCAGCCCATTTCCCTCAGCCTCTCCTCACTAGGCCTTTCTTTACCCTCCGCTGGACTCTCTCCAGTGTGTCCACATCCTTTCTGTTGCGGGGGCCCACAGCTGGACACGGGACTCCAGATGTGGCCTCCCCAATGCTGAAGAGAGGGAAGAATCACTGCCCTCCACCTGCTGGCAGCGCTCCTACCAACGCAGCCCAGGATGCTGGTTGCCTGCTTGGCACCAAGGGCACGCTGCTGGCTCCTGTTCAGCTCCTTGGCCCCTGTCCCCCCAGGTCCTTTTCTGCAGAGCTGCTGCCCAGCCCATCACCCCCAGCCTGCCCCAGTGCAGGGGATCGCTCCCTCCTCAGTGCAGGTCTTTGCACTTGGCCTTGTTGAACCTCCTGCGGTTTCTTTTGGCCCGATCCTCCAATGTGTCGAGGTCTCTCTGAATCCTAGCCCGACCCTCCAGCGTATCTGACAACGTATCTCCTCAGCTGCCGCTCAAGGGCTTGTGCCAGGGGCAGAGGCTTCATGGTCCGGAGGGGGGATGTTGGCACGGGAAGCCCCAGCCCCGGGCAGCTTTTGGGGTCCAACATTCTGGGTAGTTGGCAAGAAGTAGTTGCTTCCCCCCTGCCCCTCTCTCCCCCCTGCTCTGTCTGCCCCCAGAAGCCCCTGGCCGTATGTTAGCTGAAGATGCCCAAGGGGTCCTGACATCCGCGTGTCCTGGGGAGCTGTGGAGGCTGCACCCCTCCAGGCGGAAGATGCCTGCACCCGTTCAGCAGGGTGGGCAGGGGTCCCTGCTCCGAGCTGAAGGGCACCGGCGTTCGGTGCAGACGACCGGACCGCCCCAGCCCGCCCTGCCTTCGCAGCCCTGCAGCTCTGTACCTGTGCAGTGCCTGGATATGAGCAGGAATAAATTGCTCCCTGCTCCTAGCTGGGTCATTAAGGTCTGCCCCAGCTTTGTGTTGTGTGCCAGAGCTGGGGAGAGCGGGTTGGCCACGGCACCATGGAGCAAAGGCTCCGTGCAAACGAGTGCGCTCCAGCATGCAGCCATGCAAATAGCCTCCACGCATTTTGCTGAGCGCTAATTGCTACGCCGCCACTGTTGCATGGCAACTGCTGCGCTTGTACAGCTGACAGCGCCTGCCCCTTGATTTCTTGCCACCCTCCATGACAAACAGGAGAGAAGAAAGCCCAGGGCTGTACCAGGGAGGCGAGCGAGGGCTGAGAGCCGGGGGTCAGGCAGGGCTGCGGGTGTCCACTCCTGTCACTCTGCAGTTCCCCTGGCAGGGTCCTCGCGGCTGCCCAGGGCTTGCCCCAGCTGTGAAGCATCTCCCAGATCCAGGCGCAGCCCAGGCGCCTTCCTCCCTGCTCCCTGGCAGCAGAGCTGCGCCACAGGCACCTCCGCTACTCCAGGGACGGCCTGAGAGAGACTGTGACGTGGCTCCATGGCACGAAAGCTCCCCACGGTGCAGAGATGGGGGCTGCACCGAGAGCCCAGATCCCCCCTCCAAGCCCAGTGCCTCGTGTGTGGCTGGAGCACATTCCTCCCAGGCTGGGTCTGAAGGCTGTAGGGACGGAGGGTCCGCTTCCTGGGGGAGTTTGGGGGGCGAACCTCTCTCTTACTGCTCCAGTTCTGCGCCCAGGCTCAGGGCCTCGGCGATGAGCTTCCAGCCACCCTCCGGTAGAGCCAGGAGCAGGCGTGAGCAGCGCTGACGTCAGCCACTGCCAGAGCTGTCGGGGCAGCAGGAATGACCCCCACGGGGAGGGAGGGATAGCGCAGCGATCCCTGCCAGAGCCAGGGCGAGGAGTCCCGTGGGGGATCAGCTCAGGCTGCGCAGGTGCAGACACCACCGCGACCCCAGGGCTCGACAGGAGACGGACCCCACGCCCAGGCTGGGTTCAAGCACAGGAGCGCAGAGCCAGGCGAGGCCTGCGCAGAATCGGGGCCCCCGCAGCAGGTGCCGGCTTTGTCCCCACGCCTGCGAGGCAGACCCCTTCGCATCGCGTTGTCACTGTCGTGGCTTCCCCGCCCTCTGGCCGGCCTTCCCCGGTGTCGTACAGGTGGGGGCTGCCCCTGGCCACACCCCCAGGGCAATGGGGTAAATGCAGGCCCCGGGGCCGGCTCCCAGCCCCGGTGCAGAGCACCTGGGGGGGTCTGCCGAGCCCCTGCTCCCCGGGCCCAGCCCAGCCCAGCCTCCCCACCCCAGGCTGGCGCTGAAGGTTTGTCGTCTCCATTGCGGCTGGGGGCGGGGGCAGGATCTGCAGCTCCATTGTTGCACCTGGGCACCCTTTTGTGTAACCGAGCCCTGGAGCTGCAGGTGCAGCCGCGCGGCAGGACCAGGTGGGGCCGGGGCCTCTGCGGGGGGGGGAAGGGGACCCCGGCCTCCTCCGGCGGGTGCTGCTGGTGGCAGGGGGACACTCCCAGGGTGGGTACAGCCCTGCCCCAAAAGGATCCTGGTCCCCCGGTGGGGGGGGGTGCAGCTGGGGGAGCAGGAGCCCTGCATCCCGGGGCCATACCCGGCCTGGCCGCCCTGAGCGCACGGCGCAAGGGGGCAGGGGAGCAGCCAGGCACTGGGGGCCCGTGCGTGGGTCGAGGGCCCTGGAGGGGTGCGGCAGAGCGGGGGGTCGTGGGGCTAACACTACCCAGACGGTGCAGCAGTGATGGAGCCCTCTGCACAGGGCAGCCCTGGGGTTGCCCTGGAGCACAGGGAAGGTGGAGACCCCCAGAGCCCACCCAGAGGCTTTCCCTGCGAGCTCTTCTCACGTTTGAAGCCACAGGCATCTGTCCCGTGGTGCCTGGTGGGGCCCAGCCAGCGAGTACATCCTGCAGGCCCCTTGTCTAATGCATGCCCAGCACCCAGCACCTGGCCTATCCTCTGCCCCCCCCCTCGTCTTCTCTCCATCAGCCTCTGCTTGTCGTGTGCGCGTTTGCAAAGCCGCTGGTGCGTAGCAGGTGCTGTCAAAAGCAGACAATGTTGGGATAAAAGTACAGGGCCCTTGGAGCTGTACATGCAAGAGTTTCTTTGTGTTGGGCCCCCCAAGTGCCTCCGTCACGAGCCATCAGGTCAGGATTGCCCGGTCCTGGCTGCCCGGTGGGACTGGCACGGGTTTGCTGTGGGCTCTGTGGGGAGGCCCCAGTGGAAGCAGATGGGAGAAGGAATCGGAAAGTTTTGCTTCTGGACTGTATTGAAGGCCAAGCTGGGCAGGATGGAGCTGTGCACCGGCTTGCTGGAGCCAGCAAGTGCCTGCCCATACAGACGCCCCTGGGACAGGCAGTGCAGGAAGGGAGAGAGCAGAGGGGCACAGCCACCCTCGCCCCACCGCCTTGGTCTGGGGGCTGTGCTGGCTTTGCTTCCAGGTCTGAAGGGGAGGGAAAGGTGTTAAGGAAGGAGTCAGAGGCCACTTTCCCCATCTTCACCCCAGGGGCAAGTAAAGGAAGGAGCTGTGCAAGGGCAGGGTGGAGAGGAAAGGTGCTTCTGGGGCTGGCTTTGATAGCAGTGCTTAACTAGCTCATTAGCCCTTCATCTCTGCACCACTGACCCCTTTGCAAAGCAGGTGAGTGGTAGCACCTGAGCTGTAGAACTGGCTGCAGACCACAGGAAGATGATGATGATGGTCATGCAGATTGGGTGCTCTGAGACTCAACCTGCCTCTGAGGGCTGTCAGTCAGCTGGGCTATAAATCACAGTGTTAATTGGATGGGAACAGGTGGGGAAAAGGCAGTGCCCTGCCCAGGAAGGTGACTGTAGGGGTGGGGAGGCTTTCTGGGTCCTTCCTGACCTCGTTCCAGCTTCCCTGTGCAAGAGAGCACCCCCTGGCAGAGCTGTGGGGGAAGGGGCAGCTCTGGGGGGCAAACAGGAGGGCAATGCAAAGCCTGCACTCAGCAGGACTCCCTGGAGGAGGCTGGGGCTGACCTCCCCGAGGCCGGTGCAGGGGCGAGCTCCGTGTGTGCTCGTTGCACTCTGATGGGGGCCCAGGCTGGCAGGGGGGTGACGGTTGGGGCAGGGGGCCGTGCCTGGGTGAAGCCCTTGTTCCCAGGCGCCAGTGACTGACTGACGGCTTCTCTCTCCATCTCTCTAGTGAGGATGCGGCAGAGGCAATAGCAGTCGAGCCCCAGAGCCAGCCCAAGTCTCCACTGGAAAAGTTCATGGTCCGGCTGTGCACGCACCACCAGAAGCAGTTCATCCGCGTCCTCAACGACATTTACACTGAAGTGCAGCCGGGCCCGGACGGCCAGCCGGGCCCCGCGCCCGACGGCATGGACGCCTCCACCTGCAGCTCTGGCTGCAGCCAGCTTCGAAGCCCTGACGCTGCAGAGAAGGGCGCCGCCTGTCCTGAATTGAAGCCCCCTTCCTCCTCCGACGCCCCACAGGACCCTCCGAGCCACCTGCACGGGGCCGGGCATGCCCCCAGGCCCCCTGCGGACCCGAAGCCTGCGGACAGGACGGAGAGCTCAGCTGCTGCTTCCAAAAGAGACTGTTCCGAGCAACCCAGCTCAGCCAGCCCAAAGGAAAGCCCTGCTCACGGATACCTCACCACATCCAACTCTTCCTCACTGCACTTCCACTCCGCTGCCAAGGGCCTGGAGGGCCCGCACGTGGGGCACGAGCCTGAGCAGGGCGCCTGGAGAGGCGAGGACAAGGACCCGCTCCCGGGCAAGGCCCTGGGCTGGGCAGCCAGTGTGAACGGTAGCGAGGACAGCTTGGAGGGCTGCCTGGTGTCCCCCAGGAACTCCTCCTTCCGAGCCTTCCCCGAGGAGGCGTGGGACCCGGGGTTCTCGGCCCGGCGCGCCGACAAGGAGAACGCGCTGCAGTGCGGCTCCAAGGCCTCGCTGCACCCAGACCTGGAGGCCAGTGAGCACGACGCCAGGCCAAAGCCAGACCACCACCTGCACGGCGGTGGCAAGGCGAAGGCTGGCTACCACTTGCACCCCGGAGACAAGCCTCCTCTGGAGAGCGCCCGCGATGCCTGGCTGCCCACCAGCAAGGCCTCCCACGGGCACGCACGGGCCAAGGGCCCCCCTGCCTCCATCAAGACATCCCGGAAGAGCAAGCGGGCCTCGGGGCTGCGCATCAACGACTACGACAACCAGTGCGACGTGGTCTACATCAGCCAGCCCATCACCGAGTGCCGCTTCGAGAGCCAGCGGGCCGCGGCGCCCCGCAAGACCGCGCGCAAGAGCACGCGGGGCTACTACTTCAACGGGGAGTGCTGCGAGCTGCCCACCGTGCGCACGCTTGCCAAGAGCGCCCGCGCTGCCGAGGACTGGGGTGGCAGCACCGCCCTGAGAGCAGATGCCTTGGCCACCGCGAAGCAGCCAGCTGCCGCGGCGGGGAAAGATGGGGACAAGCGGGTCTCCCTGAGGCTCCTGGCCAAGGGGACCTTGCCAGGCAGAGAGACCAAGGAGAGAGCAGCTGAAAGCGAGCCCCGTGAGACCCAAACGCTGAAGGAGAGAGATGTGGCAAGTGCCGAGCCGGCACCGGTGCCCCCAGCAGTGCCGGGCGGCGAGTGTGCAGAGACCCCCAGCTCACCGCTGCTCACCAATGGCACCTCTCCCGCCCCGAGCTGCGAGGAGGAGACGTGGCAGCTGCCGGTCGGGGGGGATGGGGACGCTCCCTCACCTGCCAGCGCTGGCTCCTGCGGGGACGTGGGGTCCGAAGCAGCCAGCAGCAGCATGGCAGGGGACTCTGCTCTCCTCCCCGTCTCGGTAGCCGCTAGCAGCGAGGCAGGTCCACCGTGCTCTGAAGCACAGGCTACTGCAGAGCCCCCCACCAGCGGGGACCCGGAGCCCCC